CTTTTGGTTGAAACATAAACTTTTTGTTGAATCTCAAGCTTTTGGTTGACGCTTTAAGTTTTTGGTTGACTGTCTAAAATTTTGGTTGACTTTCTAAGTTTTTGGTTGACTAAGATTTTGGTTGACTGTCTAAATTTTTGATTGACTTTCTAAGTTTTTGGTTGAACTCAAAAAGATTTGAACTCAGAAATCACAAACTAGGGTAGTGGCGCAGTGAGTAGAGAAGCCAAGCTTGTGATCGGAAGATAGCCAGTTTAACTCCAGGTGTTGCACGTGTGTTCACATGTGTGATAGGTTAAATGCAGAGATTTAAAAGCATAGTAGCATAATAGGTCTCCTTTATGTCTCTGCATTTAGCCTATCACACATGTGAACACATGTGCAACATGGAGACCATCCTGGAGTTGAACCGGCTACCTAGGCTAAAAGAGACCTATTATGCAAAATTCACTTTTTAAAGGTTTTTTTACTCAACTTTGGCAACTAGGCTTTAACAAGGCTTTCATAAGCTAAACAATAGAAGTACGTGAGAAAACATGTTCATAACAAACGAAAATAAAAAATTAAATTATTTGTGCCCAAGTCAGTCTTGATCCCTAGTCTCCCACTCTCTGGTCCAACACTCTACCCACTGTGTTATAGGAGGCCTGTTATAAAATGAGCTGCACATTACACAACACCGTAGCGGCTTTTTATACGGAGGAGCAGCTTCACCTGGGGTTTGCTAGGTAAGAGGCTGAACGCAGGTTCTGGTGGGTTGTCGTACGACTTGTGACATCACAAAATGTACAAAACTTGTCATTAATATACATTGAAATACATTTACTTACAGTAAATATGCACTTGGGTGCATGTTTTTGGTCCTAGGACTGTTTTATTAAGAAGTACACACCCAAAGTTGAGTAAAAAAACTTTTAAAAAGTGAATATTGCACAATAGGTTTCCTTTAAGTCTCTACAACTAACCTATCACACATGTGAAGACACGTGCAACACCTAGAGTTGAACCGGCTATCTTCCCATCACAAGCTTGGCTTCTCTACTCACTACACCACTACCCTAGTTTGTGATGTCTGAGTTCAAATCTTTTTTGAGTTCAACCAAAAACTTAGAAAGTCAATCAAAATCTTAGACAGTCAACCAAAATCTTAGACAGTCAACCAAAATCTTAGACAGTCAACCAAAATCTTAGACAGTCAACCAAAAACTTAGAAAGTCAACCAAAAACTTAAAGCATCAACCAAACGTTTGAGATTCAACCAAAAGTTTCTGTTTTGCAAAAAACGTTTTGATAGGTTTTTTTT